GCTAAAATGTTTTTTTTTTTTTTTTAAAAAAAAAAAAAAGTAGTATTCGGTGTGCAGGGTTGTTTGGAGTCGTTTATTCTAGGACTGAAACAGAATCTAAGTTGAGGTCCCCATGCATTTGGTGAACTTGGACTCTGATTCCCAAATTGATACTCCTTCAATAGTTTTGTGTGTGGCTTCTCTTAATGTTTTTTTCCCTAAGAATTTTGCAATTCTGCTCTCACTTGTGTGAAATTGTTTCCTGCAACACTTCTGCTGAGGTATTTTTTCTCATTGCAGAAGTCCGTTCCCCACCCATGAACACATCCGCTTCCTGTGTGATGCAGAGGTTTCGTAATGTCTGTGACCAGCACTTGTGCTGCGTGCGTGCAGAAGTCTGGCCAGATGTCCCTTCTGTCTTTGTGTGGGTGAAAAGAAACAAGGTGTGGCCAGTGTGTGCCTGCTGTGGACTGGGACTTCCTCTCCTTGGCTTTTTCCACAATTGCCAATGTTTAACAAAACATTGATAAAACCTCCTTCAGGCCCCTCGCCCTCCTCCATTTTGTAGTGAGCCTGGGCCATGAGGAGTTCATGACTGTTTTAATTAATTACTCTCCAAGCATTTTGCATAGTGTCTCCAAGGTGTCAAAAATCAAGGGGAGAAGGCAGCAGGGGGAAAAACAAGAAGTCAAAGCCCTACCATTTCTACAGGCATTTAGAAAGATTTGTGTGAGTGTGTTTTGGGTTTTTTAAACAAATTTCAGAAAATGAAAAAACACTTTAATACTTTGTCTGAAACTTGGAATTTTTTTTTTCCGTTTAGATTTGAGTCTTGCATCTTTGGTTAGTTTGAAAGTCCCTGTGAGTTAAGATGTAGTGCCGGCGTACGGGGAACCTAATAGGTCTTCCTTGTGCGTTGCGGACAAGAAGCATGTACCTGTGGCATGGGACAGCAGTGGAACAATCTCTGCCATGTTGTGCCATCTCTGCAGAGTAAGTGTAGCTCCACAGTCCTTCCCTGTATTTGCATTTCAACAATTAAATTATAAATACTATTTAGCAATGGTAACCATGAAACAGAGCATACTTTTAATGGATAACATCCTTAGTGGGTCCATACATGCTTAGAAACCAAAGGGAACAGCATCTTTAAGCGTCTGTGAAAGTTGTCAAGGTTCTGTGGAACTCTGATAAATTTTATGGCTCGGTTAGGGAAAGTTCTTTTGGGTGTGATTGTACAATCTTAAAAAATGCACATTAGTACATTCTTTTAGTCCTTCCAAAGTGCAGTGTAAGAAGAGAAGTGAGAGCCAGATAGGAGCATACTTAAGCTTCTGAGGCCAACAGGAGGTGTGTCTTTTGGTTCCAAAGTGTTGTTTCAAAGCTGTTGGGAGCAAGGTGACTTGCACTCCTTCACCTTCATCTTGTCTGACTTATTTTCATTGACTGTCTGAACACAGGTATGGGCATTATTATAATGCTTGTATCGAAAGAATTCCTATTTGGAGACTTCTGAAATACATTTTAATTTGTGTAGCAAAACCAGGCGTACCCTGGGTGGAATCTCTGTTCTTGAAGAAACACAGAAACTTCCTGTTGTCTGAGTGGTGAGAAATAACCATCTAAAGGAAACTCTGGCTTGCTGTTCTCTGGAGTGGTTTGACCACAGTGATGGATGCTGGTCTGTCTTGGTTTCTCATTGCACCTGCATCACTTCTTTGTGTTTGACCCTCCCTCCCTGTCCCTTCTCTGTGTAAAAAAAAAAAAAAAAAAAAAAGAAAAAAATTCTTCACAAATGTGCTGCAGGGATTGGTGTGTGTGTACACAGTGCCTAGAGCATAAGGACATGTTCATTAACATCAAAGGCACTTTCGGTTCACTTAAAAGTAATAGATGTGTTGTAAACTATCCTAACTATCCTAGGTCAAGAATGTTAATTATGCTTGGTCATTTTTTTTTTTTTTGATAGGCAAGGGTACTATTTGGAAAATCATTCCTCCTTACCTGCACTCCTTTTCCCCTCTTTTTGCCCCTGTACATAGTTCTGTAAATGCACACATAGAACAGCAGCCTTGAGACTTCTTGCTGGAGTTGTGTCCATACATCACACAGTGGTTTTATTTATTAGAAGGAAGACATGTAGCTTTGTCTAATTAACACTTTGTGTCAAGAAACTGAATTATAAAATCTAAAGCTTAGTAGATTTTCCCTTCACCTGCCAGCTTCCCTTCTAGATAATAGTGTGGTTTCAGTGAGTGTGTAGCTGATAATGTGCACTGAGGTGTGTGGGCATAGTTCACTTCGCTGTGACAGCTGCTTACTCTTTCCTTGGTAATCTCCTGGAAGTCACCTAGGCCGTGAAAAGGGCTTGTGCTTTGCAGCACCACTTGGGTGTGTGAAAATTTGGCTTTAGATCCCAGGACTACTTTGAGTACTTAATACTGTTGTCTGTAGTGGAGGTGAGAACTACTTATGTTTGTCGCAGTAGAATTATGAGGTAGATGTCTGTTAATGTTGTTTAAACCAGATAATTTTCTGGAGAGGACAGTCTGAACACGTTATGAATAATTTTTTCCATGGAGTTCAGTGGATGTGCAGTGAATGCACAGTTTCATAAGCTGTGGCATGCTGCTCAGAAGGTCTGTTCCAGCTTCTCCTGAGTATCAGAAATAAGAGTAGAAGGCAGGACTGATGTATAAATGATCTTTGAAGGCTTTGGCTATGTTTTCCTCTTTATTCCATCAGGAGTACCTCTAGGAAGGGTTTTGCTCAGTAGATCTGGAGCTGAAATTTGGTAGAACTGTGTTTCCTCAGTCATTATATGGCAGTGATACGATTTTCTGACAACTGCCATTGTCATGAATTGTTCAAGTCTGCCTTTATTTACTGTCCTTGATCTGTTTGGGTTTTTATTAAATTGCTAATGTCTATGTGGAATTTTTGCCTTGACCAGGGTTGCATGTGGGCACGTTGTCCAGAGCATTAGGTCTGATGTTTCTCTGTTGTCAAGACTAACTCATAAAATGATATTTGCTAGTGACCTGTCAATTGGAGTGCATCATGCACATCAGAGGGCATTTATTTAATTGTGGTGTCTAGATATCTAAGTCTTCAAGCAGGAGTGACCAGCTTAAGGTTCATGACTCCCCTGTGACTCTTTCATGTGTCGTTCCCATTTAGGACTATGTCCTGTGGCTGGGTTTATGCTGGCACAGGGACAGCTGGGTGGTCTGGGTTGCTGCAATCTATCTGCATACCTAGTCCACCTAGGTGGTATTCCACTGAAACCTCTGTGGAGCTTTTATCCTTGATTCCCCAGGAATTTCTGGAGCTCCCTTCTCCCATGGTTCTGTCATAAGTCTGGGTTTAGGATCCTGCTGACTGCGCCAGTCTGTCACAAGTGAGTGGTTAGGATGCCTAAAGAATCACCGTCAAAGGTATTTGCAAGAAATGATTTTAATAATTTATAAAATATGATTTAACAAAGTTCATTGGCAAGGTTCACTCTATTACTTATTATATGAATGGAATACAAAATCGAGGTAGGATTGAGGTAGAATAATTTATACAGAGACTGAAGAAAGGTGTAAGGGAGACCCTTCCATTGGGTCACCAGGTTTGGAATGGACCCCCTTGCTTTCTAAACTCCTCAGAGAGGAGCCTAGGTGCGGCTGGATCCAGAATTAGCCTCAGGTCACAACGGTTTATGTCTAAAGGATATGTATAGCAGCAATTTAAGGTCTGTTCACAGGTAAAGAGAGAGAAAACCAGACGAGTTTAGCGGTAATTAATCATTGGTTAACTTGGCATTTACAAAGTGGTTAAAAAGTATTCACTACAATCACAATAATGGGATATTATTATTTGAATTGATGCACACAGACAATATGCATAGATTAAGGTACCTGTTAAAAATTCCCTGTGAGTTCAGTGAAATAATAATTTCAAGTTATTTTCCTCAATGGGCAAAAGTGGAGCCTCAAGGAGTGAGGGATCCCTGTCTCTGCGAGGCATCCCACCAGAGGGAGATGCTGGGCGCAGCCGCTGTGGTCCAGGAGAGCTCATGGGCCTTTGCTTGGTACCACTGTTTATGGGGTCGTGAGAGGATTGACTTTAGGCGTCAGCAAATTTCCATCCTGGCCCAAATCAGTATGAGGTAATTCTGATGTCTTGACAGCAACTGTACAATTCCAGTCCTTCCCAGAATGTACAGTTCTCACATTTACCAGGGAGGTATGATTCGGGCAGCTGGAGGGAATTCTCAGGGTGGTCAGGGAGCACCTGATTGGCCCAGGTCACTGCTCTTGTAGTGCAGGCAGGAGCACAAAGTTGGTGGCCTGATGCGGGGGGATGGAAGCTGCACCACCAACAGGCTCTCTGAGGTATCCAGGTACACTGTGGCTCTCAGCCATACATGGATTGTGATATTTCAGGTTTAAAGTCAGGTAGCTTTGTCTGTGTTGACCTAGGGAGAAATTTTTCACATGTCCAGCAGTTGTGTCTGTAAAAAGCTTAGGTGATCCTGGAGACGTTAACACATGAAATTAGCAGCTTGAGTACCTTCTCTGTGTCCCTTTGAAGTTTCTCTTTCATTTCAGGGTAAGTGTCCTCAGAGTTGCTGAAATTGACCTTAATAGCACTGTCTTTGGAGCTGAAGTTGTCCTCGAGATGTCTTCTGTTTCACTTGTGTTCTGTGTGCATCAGCACAGCTGCGGCTGAAGTTTGAGCTTTGGTACTCAGTGCTGTGTAGTCAGAGGGTGTGGAAGGTGCTCGCTGCTGAGGATGTGGTGTCAGCAGGCAGCAGCCTGGGGAGAACCGGGGAAAGAGATCCGATTACTGAGCAGTGATTCTTTCACATTTGTGGTATATCTGACAGAGCCCTGTCAAGGATGGTCTTTAGTTTGCTCTCCAGGCATGCAGGGACTTCCTGGGAGGAGGGGTGTGCTGCTCTGCAGCAGGAGGTACTGAGGTAGCTCACTGAATTAGCTCTTATGCATGATCCTTTGGTTTTCCAGGAGGGGAAAAATGAGACGGGAGTTTTAAACTCTGAGGACTCATCATGGAACACTCAGAAGGACATCACTTCAGCTCAGTGGAAGAGGAAACCAGATACTGGAAAGAGCTGGCTATGAAATACAAGCAGTGGTAAGGCAGAGGCTTCATTCCTCTAAGTTGTTCTATAGGGTGCATAACACTGCATGCAGAGACATAGAGGAGTAAATTCAAGGTGGTCCAGCTGTCTTGAGTGGTAGCAGTAGCAATGCTTCTGCATAAACTACAGCAGCCCAGACTCCTTTACGCTCGTTTGAGCAGTGAATCTGTGCCTCTGCGGCACTGCTGGGTTTGGTCCCTGCTCTGGTTTGAGTAGGACTCTGTGTGCTGAAATTGTGCCTCTCGCTGCAGTCTGTGGGCAGCCTTGGTAAACATAACTCGCTGCAGAACCTTGTTGGGGATGGATGGTCTGGGCCGTTGCAGAAAGAGAGGTGCTGCTGTTCACTCTTCATATCTTTGTGTGGATCAAGAATGGTTTGACAGGATGGAGATGGAGGAGGATCCCTGGCTGAGAATAGACGTACTTCGCTCTTCCCTTTAGCTCAGTATGTTGCTCTAAATGCAGTAAAGGGTGAAAAAAATCCAGACTTTTTAGATACTGACATTGGTGGTTCATTTCTTAGACTTGTCATTTGAACCTTTCCGTGGTGCTTGTTTAGCTTGCTGGAGGATTAATTCAGCAGAAGTGTTTAAGAATGTAAGAGCATCTTTCCTTCCATCTTTTTCTCACTTTTTACTGCTAATCAAAAATGGATTTGCTCTTATTTCCAAACATATAATTGAATTGGATAACAGATTAAATATACAGATGGCAGTGGACAATGTACAAGCTAAAGAGACTCCACATGTCCTTAACCCCTATAATGTGAAGACAGCCTCTGGGATTTTTTTATTGGGCCTTTTTTTATTTGTTTACCACTTTGCCATGAGGTGGCTTTCCATGCTTGATGGGGAAACATTTGCATATGGTCCTCTCTTCCTGTTGAATATGTATGTTGGAGAAGGGCGTAGAGCCTTCTGTGGTAAAGAGCAGTATTTTTTTTACCTTGAGTGCACAAGAGAGATTTTTTGCTGTGTTCATTATGATGAGTTCTGTTGCTGGAATTGCTCTGTAGTGCTGAGAGTACACAGGAGGAATTGCGTGAATTCCAAGAAGGGAGTCGAGAGTATGAAGCTGAACTGGAGGCTCAGCTGCAGCAAACAGAGTCCAGAAACAGAGACCTTCTGTTAGAAAACAATCGTCTGCGAATGGAGCTGGAGTCAGTTAAGGTAAGAGCGGATGATGCGTGTAGTATCTGTACCTCCTAAGTGCAAAGCTGAGTGAGACAGGCATGTGCGGATTAATCTTGCCTTGTGGACAGGGACCTTCAGCATTACAAAGAAATTGAACAGAGAACTGCAAGAAAGGTGGTCTTGAAAAATTAAGAAATACTAATCTGTTGTCTGCTTTGAGAGTGTTGATACCTTGGTAATGTTCCTGAACCCCCATTCGCAGGTTGTGGCTATCTGTCAGGATAGATTTGAGATGAGAGAAAATTGCTTGCAGTAGAGTGGAGAATAAACATGACTGTAACAGAGCTGCAGTTCTATTCCTTCTTCCACCCTAGTGCTTTTGTTCACAGCTTTCTTGCTGACTGCGTTGTGCAGACACAGGGAATACTGCAGAACAATCAAAATACAAACATTCCAGCTGTGTTCTTGCATTACGTGAGAAAAAGCAGTAGTTTTAAACCCTTTTTGCATAGTTCTGTATTTATTATCTGGCATTTCAGATAAGCTGGGAAGCAGCAGCCAGTGGGTAACACATAGAACTGAGAGGCACAAAACAGTTTCAGTCCTAGTTTTGTTACTGAATCTGTGCTTGGGGGAAAATAATTTATCCTCTTTACACTTGATTAGCCTTCTGCGAGACTGAGAACCAGCTGAAAAGCATTAACTTCTGTAATTATAAAACATAAGGTATATGAACTTACTGAGATAGCTTCATTATTTCTTAAGTCACTCTGGTAAGAAGTTCTATCTAGAGTATGAAGAGTGGTGAGTCTGCCTCATTTCAGTCTCATTAAAGATGCTGCTAGTCCCCTGTGCTGGTTGACAGGTTTAGGAAATACTGGTAAGCCTTTTTGAAACCTGAAAAAAAATTGTCATTGGGATTGGTGTGCCTTTTGAAGTTTGATCTTGTTGGCCTTTTACTTAAAGGTGAGGTATGGTCACCCAAGAAACACTACACTGTGACTGTGTTTTGTAGGGCTAGATCAAAATCTGTGGAAGCAGAGGTTAATTTAATTACACTTCTACTCAATTGGATGTAGTCATTAGTTGATGGGAGTGAAGGTATTTGTAAAAGTGATTAATTGAGGATTACAATGCCTTCTGTCTAAACTATTGTCCAAATTACTGTCTTACAGGAAATACTTTTCTGTTCCAGGCAGATGTCTTGTCTCTCTAGCACCAACTTAGTGATTTCCACCCCCCTCCCCCCGCTTTTTCATAGGAAAACCACCAAGGCTTCTTTCATTGTATTTGTTGTGTTGCACTGATCTTTGTTCTTGTATGAGTGCCTGAGCAGTATTAAATGCTCTGCATGTTGTATGGAGGTCTAGTGTTCCATGTAGCCATGTAAGTTTGGGCAGAAGGCATACATTTGACAAAAATAAAACCTGCAGTTCATTTAATTGAGGAGGGTGTAGACTATTTTCTTTCTCCAGAGGAGCTAGGGTGAGAGGAGGTAACAATGAACCAGCTAGAGCAGTTAAGAATAAAAATAGTAGGAAACAAAACAGAACCTCAAAAATTGGAGGATAAACATATCTTAGAAAGTCTTAAATTATTCTTTATAGTAGATAATTAAAACATATTCTGCTTGAAACAAGCCTTCTAACAATTGGCCATTCATGCAGCCTGAAAACTGCAGTAACAGCCTACAGTGAAGGAACAGAGATTCCATTGATGGTCAGATCAGCTGACAGTTTATTGGCTAAAAACAAAGACTCAAACATTGCAGTTGTGGTCTTTTATCTGAATCGATTCAAGAGGAAAGCATTAAACTTGTGAAGCTACTGAGCAGCAGTGTTAACCGAACCCATGAAGGGTTGGTGCCTGCATCTAGGTCAACACTAGTGAACTTTGTCAGGCCCACACAGCTTGCAGCTTTGAGCTTACCAGCCTAGTGTGTGTGCATGCTCCCCCCTTAGAAACCAGAGTTCACACTACCTAAAAATAAATGGAAATAATGCTTTGGAGAGTTTGTTTAGAGAGTCCTGAAAAGCTATTTGAAAGTAATCTGCCGCCTGGGGCTCTTAAATTCAGCACATAACTATGCTTCAAGAGATCCAGAATTGTAGCAGTGTCACCACACGGTAATCAAACAAGAATTTCTTAACTCAGAATGGGTATCTCTTTCCATCCTCCTTGTCTATGCATTTCATGTGCTAAAATAGCTGTCTTCAAATTATCAGTTGTGCTAGACTACATGCCATGGTTTTCAAATTCCAGTGCACAGATTTGTTTTCAGTGACTTCAAGTGTGTTGTACTTAAATTCTGGATGGAGAAAGCATTTCAGGAATGCTACTTATACAGCAGTCTTGGAGTTTCAGAACTCTGGTGCATTGATGTGATCTGATAGCAGGGCGGAGTGTAAAGTGTTGCAGTAGATGGTGTGCTGTGGAGTTTCCCCTGTCAAGTGATGTGGAGCTAACTCTGCACATGGTGGCAAATAGCAGGAGAGATCTGATGGAGAAGCTAAGCCTTCCTCCCTGCCCGTGCCTTGCTTAAATGTACCCTTGTGTATGTGCTGTAAAGGGAGACAGCGTTTGGTTCAGGTTCGCATCCAAAGCATGTTGCATAACTGTACCTGAAATGTTTTGTAATCTAGAACTGAGTCTGCTTTGGGCTAATAAAACTGCAGGGGCAGTGGAGAATCCTGCTGGTTCCACAGCAGTATGTAACAGTGGACAACAGCGCACGGTATGCAATGGTGGGCAACACTCCAGGATATATTTTTTCCTTGTTATTTAGGCTCCTAAGTACTGCTTGATATTTTTTTCTTTTTAGAGTTGAAAATAAATGGCTTCTCTTGCATCCTGCTTTGTGTGTTGCTAAAGCTTTTGGGGCTCAGAAATTATGCTGAGTCTCGCTGTCTGGGAGAGCAAGGAGTGGCCCTGTGCTGTGGAGATCGGGAACTGCTCCCCAGCACCGTTGTTTGATAAGCAGTGACAGGAAGAGCTCTTGTCTGCTGGCAATCCAGAAGTATGTGGGCAATTGGCTGCTTTGGCATTTTACCATGTGTTGGTGATGTTTCTCGAAAAACTCCACAGCACCTGCCTCTGCTTTTAAAGGGGCTCAGACAATGCCACAGAAAGAGAATGTGTGCTGCTTAGTCCTTGATACGCTGTTTGATTTGCCTTTCATTAGGAAAAGATTGAAATGCAGCATTCAGAAGGATACAGGCAAATCTCTGCACTGGAAGATGACTTGGCACAGACAAAAGCTATTAAAGATGAACTTCAGAAATACATTCGAGAACTTGAGCAAGCAAATGATGACTTGGAAAGAGCAAAAAGGTGACCCACCTTCTGTATTTTCTTTTTCCACCTCTGTTCTGTCCTGTGAGCTTGATGTCACTGAGCTGTTTGTGATACTGCACTTGTAAGCACTGCCATTCTGAACTAATCACTTGAGTGATGATTGTGGTGAAGAGGTTTGTGGCAGATGGGAAATGTGATAAACTTTTTTTCCCTTCAGCTCCCCCCACTGCACTCTTTCATATCTTGCAAGCTAAAACAAAAAAAAGCAAACTGAACCAAAACGCATTATCACTTTTGTTGTGAGAGGGAGTTCCTCTGTGCTTGAAGGGTCTAGTAGTGACATCTTGTGCACTCTTTTTCAGAGCCACTATAATGTCTCTGGAGGATTTTGAACAGCGTTTAAACCAGGCTATTGAAAGAAATGCTTTTCTGGAGAGTGAGCTGGATGAGAAAGAAAACCTTCTGGAGTCCGTGCAGCGCCTGAAAGATGAAGCTAGAGGTTAGATGGAAATTCCTTGTATCTTTCTCTTTCTCCCCTCCTGACCTGTAGCTGCTCAGTCCTCTCCATATATCTTGGAGCTGGGCTCTGAAGTTTTGATGCCGTGAAAAGCTGGAGTTGAAGACTCAATAGTCGGACGGCTGTTAAGTAGGTATTTTTTATTACGGCGCCGGGCACATGGGGGATCTCTCCTCCAAACGTGTGCACTGAAGAGACACAGTTACTAGGTATTTGTGCTATGTTAACATACATATTAATTACATTTCCAAGAAATGCTTATCATAGTAATGGTTTTTCTGAGAACTCATTAGCATGTGTTAATGTCCTTCAGTCGTTGGGGGTCTTGAGATCATGTTGCAGCCTCCTTATCTCTGTAGTTTGCACACCCAAGGCCTAAAGGGATTATTCAGGAGTCTCTTATGTTACAACCATGCCAATTATTCACAAAGAACTAAGACTTATTTTGGTTGTGCAATGATTCTGTCCATCTAAAGTGATAACATCCCCTACGTGCTACATTTGTTACACTCACAGGTATCAGTTTGCATCATTTAAATCTGCTATCTGAAATGTAGAAGCAAATGAAGAAGCTTCAGGACTGTTCCCCCCTTACCCCTTGAACTCCTGACCTTGTTCCAGAGCAGCTCGCAGAAGTCTGTTCCAGCCTTCTCCTAATCTGTGGTGATGCTTCGGGGCCTTAGGGGGTTAAGAAGAGCCAGTCCAGGTGCGCCATGTGCTGGTCTGGCTTCTGTAACCCATGAAGGTCAGCTTAAATAACCATTAACCTCATTGTTTCCTGGCCTGTGAAAAATGGAGTCAATGAAGCACTAATGGGGCAGTAAAACAGGAGGGCTGTGACTGACTTCTGGTTACCTCTGAAGAGAATCACAGAATGTTCGGGGTTGGCAGGGACCTCTGTGGGTCATCTAGTCCAACCCTCCTGCCGAAGCAGGGTCACCTACAGCAGGCTGCACAGGACCTTGTCCAGGCGGGTCTTGAATATCTCCAGAGAAGGAGACTCCACAACCTCCCTGGGCAGC